CTAGACGCCATCTATTGACCGTCACCGCAAGCTAGCGGTCTCGGGTCGGTGACAAGTCGGAGACCGCTAGCTTGCGGTGACGGTAAATAGATGGCGTCTAGTTTTGACGTCTATTTTGACGGGAGAGGCGACCTTTGTCTCTTTAAATCAATATCCTTCCCGCAAAATTTCCATCTATAGATATATATGTTAAAAAATATTGAAAAAATGAATAAAAAGGTCAGGTGTTGATCTTAAAAATAAAAAGGTTTGACCTTAAATACCCATTTCTTTGTTTCTCAAGAAGCCACTGGGACCAAAAGGTTTTTGGTCGCAGTTAACAGCCTACTTCACGCTGACGAGCGCCAACAGCGCGAAACGCGTTTGTGGAAGGCTTTTCTTGATTTATCAAGAAATTGGGTTGGCCAAATATCAGGGAACAGGCTAAATCAATGTTTAGTTAATTTCTGTTAAACCAGATGGCGCTCTGCCTTCTGAAAAGCACATGTGCTCCTGGTCAGGATATGTCTTTTTTATTTTTGTAGATATATATGTGTGAGTGTGTTTGTGTTTAAGAATAAAGGTCGCCTCTGCCGTAGAAAAAGCGGCAAAATCTTGGCGCCACCTCTGAAGATCCGAGTATATGACACCAGCTTTGTGAAAATGAGGAGCGCCCTTCTGGAGACCATGGTTTCTGGCTAATGGCTCATCAACTCAAGGCGAGCTTAGAATACATGAGAATCACAAGTAATTAAATGAAATCTTCATGATTTTCCAGGTAGGTTCTCAGATGGCAAATTTAGGCCAATTTAATGGCTGAAATATTGATGTACATTTTACCGGAAGGATATTGTAAGGGAGAGGCGACTTCTTTTTATCAATCAATATCTGTACCAAAGGAGATGCCTCTGCCTCCTTTAAATATGCATTAGGACAATGCATTATTTCATCATCTCAGTAATACACTTTACCAGTGTTGGTGAGGGATGACCATGTGTATAGGGGATATCAAAGAAAATTACAAAGAGGATTGTATATGTTACCAAAATGGTTTTAAGTGTTTCAAGAGGTATTTTACTGTGCGTTCAGAAAATAAATAATTAAGATAAACTACGTTTCCAAGGTACAAATTTCTTGGATATATTGAAGTTTTTGGATATGTTACTTTTTGAGTGAGTGTTTAATTGAAACTACGGATGGACTTAGAAGAAAAAAGAGATATATTTTCGATGTACGTTCGCGACACAAGTTCCATCAATCGAACATATTTTCGGAATATATTCTTGGAACACATTGAAATTAAAAGATGCTATTCATATCTTCATACTCTTGTCCCAGTCTCAATGACAAAAGCAGACGCATTCTACTTCACCCAATCAATATGGTTGTCAAATCTCTTCTAATGAGCTCTAATCATCTCCAGCAGACACCATCATCAGCCTTGATACCCTGATATAATTGAGTGGAGATAAGAAAGAAGAAGAAGAACTTTATGGTTTTAAAATTTAGGAATTTGACGTCGGAATTAAGTGGGTTTCCATAATGGATTTTTATTATAAAATACTGTACGAGAACAAAACCACCCATTATTTCTCAAATAGGTAGAGTTGGTCTTATTTTTTTATGGCTGAATCGAAATATTCTCAGCACAAATTTTCAGTGTTTCTCTATAGCCAATAGAAGAGTAATGTCTCTGTGTAAGCTCGGAAACTTAATTAAAGAATCCATCTTAAGATAAAATATATTTCATTTGATATAAAATACTATTCAAAGATTACTTTAGTGTTCATTTTCTTCTAAGGGAGAATTTTTAGTGATGAATTCTCCACCACACACATTAATTGTTACTACCAAATTGACATTACGAACAAACTGATATTTCAATGCAATCGTTCTCTCTGACTGTAATTTTGGATCTATATCAGCATCTTTTAAAATCATAAATACCAAATTAAATTTATAGATCAATGATTTAACACTAAATATGTTTAACGTGGATGTTCAACTCAGTATATTCAGTATATCAAAATATAATTGTGAAATTTGAAAGCGGTATTGATGTTCGAAAGTCTACAACCCTACTAAAATCCCATGCACTAAGGATAACACAAAACGGTATATGTAGTACAAGGACATAATAAAAGGTAGTGTTGAATCTAATTCATTTGTATAATTGATCACGTGACAAAGGAAAGCCAATCAGGTGATACTTTGCGCAAACAAGGTATATAAGGCACGGTGGGATAGTCGGCACAGGATTGTAAGATTTGTTCATGTGGATAGGAGAGCCTGAGTAAATGATATGAAGAACTCAAGATCAGAAGAAAAGTTGGTTATGAGTGCCTGAGCATAGAATATAAAGAACTCAAACTCAGAGTAAAATAATAAAAGGTTGAAGAAGCTGATTAGAAGCCTGGATAGAAACTGTAGAGGCTAAATAAGTTATTAAGAAGCCTGTTATAGAAATTGAAGAAACTGAATTAAGTGAAAAGGCTAAATAATCTGATAATAAACCTGTTGTAGAAACTGAAGAAATTTAAAAGGATGAATAAGTTGATAAAAATCCCGTGTTAGAAACTGAAGATAGTGAAGAGGCTAAAGTTAGCAAAAGGATTGGTGATTAGCGTAATAGTTCAAGATGATTACTCTGATTGAAATAAGTTTATTTTTATGTATCATATTAACATAATAGAATAATGCTCATTATGTTAAATTCATCAAATTTTGTCGCTCACTACCTCCAGAATATCACCGGCCTATCGCTACTGTAAGTATAATTGTTAGATACAAAATTATTTAAATTATTCATTTGTTTATTTATTTATTTCTCTTTTCTTTTCCTCAATTTCCAACAGTAGGATATAGTGATATAAAGGGTACCTTGTAGACGTCCATCTCCTCACAGTAGAGGTCGAAGTGGGTGTAGAGTTCGTTCAACATGGCGACCACCTGTAGCGGCGTGGCGGTGGAGCAGATGGACGTGAAGCCTACGATGTCTGAAAATAGCATGGAGACCTCTGAGTAGTGCTCGGCTTCCACTGGCTGACCTATGCACAGAAATATTACTTCAAAACCAGACCACAAGCGGCCAATCTACAAACTTGAACACAGTAAGTTAGCTTAAGAACCTCTGAAACAACAATCAGTAAATCTCAAAACCAGACCTCAAAAGGTCAGTTTCAGACCAGGCTACAGTTACTTAGCTTAATAACCTGAAGCCAACATCATACAAACTCAAAACCAAAATAAAGAAGGTTATCCTACGAACCAGACAACAGTGTGTTAGCTTAAGAACTTGAAACAACAATCAGTAAACCTCAAAATCAGACCACAGATAGTCATTTTCAGAACCAGGAACAGTTATATAGATTAAAAACCTAAAAGCAACATCATTCAAAATCAAAACCTTAATAAAAAAAGGTCAGCCTATAAACTATACACCAGTTAGGAAACATCGAAAACAGACCACAAACGGTCAGCTTAAACAACAGGGCACAATTATGATTATCATAAGAACCAGAAAACAACATCATTCAATTCAAAACCAAACCATAGAGAGACGGTCAGCCCCATAACCAAACAATGGTTCGTTGTCCCTATAATATAACAGACATTCAACCTCAAAAACAGACTGCTCAGAAGGTCAATATCAATATGGTCAGCCTTATAAATTGAAATCACATGCAGTTAGTATGGGAATCAGACCATAGAATGTCCGTTCTCAAAACCTCAAACAACAGGAGATTAGTTTAAAAATCAGATCTCAGACGGTCAGAATTTGAAGGCATCTTCTGAAACAGACCACAGGTAGTCAACTCCAGAGACGAATCAAAGAAGGTATTCTCAGAACCAGAAATCATAAAATATCATCTTCAAAGTCAGAACACAATAGGTCACTCTCAAAAGTAGAAACTATAAATGTATAGCCATGGAACAAGAAGGCGGTCAGTCACAGACTAAAAACATACGGTCATTATTAGAATCAGAAAATACAAGGGTTTACTGATAATACCATTAGTTAAAAATAAAATACAGGTTATGAATACTTATTGGGAACAACAAAGAAAGGGTCACATAATATCCAGTCAGAGAAGATATTGCAAAGGAATTCCAAATGCGAGAGAAACCAGAAAAAAAGTCCACTCTATGAAAAATATTTGAAGATGAATATCAATGTTTGAAGATCAAAATATCATTGAATCAATACCTTTTTGAAACGATAAGTTACTTTATTAATAAATAAATTGATCTTTTTTTAAATTTTAAATATAGGTTATTGACAGCTTGATAGACTATAATTGCGAATCATTTGAAAAAGATGAATTATATAAATATAGTGGTGATATTCACACAGAGAGAGAGAGAGGTTGCAAATTTTATTACATTTATAGAATATCAATTTCTATTAAATATAAGGTTATACCGTGATCTATATCCATACCCGATCTATACAAAAAAAAAACATAAAACAAAATATTTTCTCTTCTAAACAAAACTAACTTTCTACTCTCCCTACTGCGATAAAAATATTGGAAGGGCTTGTTTAATTAGTAGTGAACCTTCAAAGCGGTTTTGCCAATTTAATTTACAAGACCGCTTTATATAAAGCTCTGATACTGTATTGTACGGTTTTTCCCTTATATGCGACAAGGAAAATAAAATTTTTGATATGGTATTCAAGCAAATTTCGAACATAAAAATTTTGGACAGTAGAATGGCATATATTTACATATGTTTGCATCGATTAAAATACTCTTCCGCAAACAATAAATACAAGGCAAGTTAGGTCTAATTTAATGCAAAAGATATAAAATCATAAAACACGAATTTTTCATTTCATTTTTCATTCATTTTCTGTGATAAATCAATATTTATTTCAAAGAGAAATATCCGCTATTTCTAACTTTTTTTGGATGACGTATGAAAGGGTGAAAATATGAAGAGTGATGGTCTATATATAATTGGATGACGTATGAAAGGGTCAAAATATGAAGAGTAATGGCGAACGGAAAAATAAAAGTGTCCAGGGGCGGGAATCGAACCCACAACCTTCTGCTTACCCGGCAGGTGCCATGTCCACTAGGCTACCCTGGACGTATCTTTCCGTTCGTAACTAATACTTAAAGTAACTTATAATATATTATAAAGGACTGCGGCATATGATTATAAAGTAATACTTAAAGCTGCACCGCATGAGTTTCTTTTCTGTGATAAATCAATATTTATTTCAAAGAGAAATATCCGCTATTTCTAACTTTTTTTGGATGACGTATGAAAGGGTGAAAATATGAAGAGTGATGGTCTATATATAATTGGATGACGTATGAAAGGGTGAAAATATGAAGAGTAATGGCGAACGGAAAAATAAAAGTGTCCAGGGGCGGGAATCAAAAAATAAGTATTAGTTACGAACGGAAAGATACGTCCAGGGTAGCCTAGTGGACATGGCACCTGCCGGGTAAGCAGAAGGTTGTGGGTTCGATTCCCGCCCCTGGACACTTTTATTTTTCCGTTCGCCATTACTCTTCATATTTTGACCCTTTCATACGTCATCCAATTATATATAGACCATCACTCTTCATATTTTCACCCTTTAATACGTCATCCAAAAAAAGTTAGAAATAGCGGATATTTCTCTTTGAAATAAATATTGATTTATCACAGAAAAGAAACTCATGCGGTGCAGCTTTAAGTATTACTTTATAATCATACGCCGCAGTCCTTTATAATATATTTACTATATTTAGTGAGATGAAAAATATTAAGAGTGCTTGTGCCTCAAGCCAAGCTAAATATGTTTATTTCATTTAGAAAAGAAAAATTCGTGGCTTATATTTTTATATAAATTTCTATTCTTTATCAAAATTAATTCCAGACGCTATAAGAAAGGTAAAAATATAATCATTATGACACTTTATAAAGCTCCGAAGATCGTTTGTTGGTCTATTACACGTACACGAATTTATAAAGGTTAAATGTGTAAGTATATAAGTAGAAATAGGATACAAAATAATCATTTCCCTGAGAAGAGTGAGGGCAGATCATCGAAACGTCGGTAGTTAAATAAATCATTGGTTGATGTGGCTGTGGTTTTCTCTGAATTTATAAAGCGTTTCTTTTATTTGCTTAGAAAAGGAAAAAGGATAGTTTCAGTTAAAAAAAAACCTTTTTATTTTTTACAAAGTTAACTATTTATTACAAAACGCGACACACACTCACACACACCTGTATATTCAAAATTATAAACTATTCATGCGCATATGTTTCCTTTTGGTAAATAATTTCCTTATGATATTAGGACAATGATAAAATATTGGAATCCGTTGGCAGGGTTCACCACTCTTTGCAAGTCTTCAAATTGATTAAGGACTCATAGGTTTTGACTATTATTTCATATTGGCTTTGCTATTTTTCACGCGTATACACATTTACAAATAGGAATGACGATTAATTTCCGAAATTTTTCCAGATTTTCCGCCATAATTCACATGAAAGTAACAGCCTGCGCACATCGCTAATGTGGGTCATTAACTTGTAACGGCTTCGAAGAAGATTTTTTTCTCACGAAGAAAATATATTTAGCCATTCATTTATGTAGAAGAATGTTTTAAACATATAATTAACATCTATTACGATAGCTAAAAAGTATTACATTTCTTAATGATCCTTAGATACACCTTTTAATAATTTGTTTTGCCATCTTATTCCATTTTTTTACCATTGCCATTTTGTCTTCTGCAACAATTAAATGAAATGTTCATATGATTGATTCAAACATAAAGAATTAGTATATTTATAATAAACTATCGATTAGGACATATATATGTAGAAATATATACACTTTTTTGTTATATTCAAAAACTGTAGTAGAAACTTCTTTTGACGTGAATTTTACAATTCTCTTCTTTTATATTGTAAAGTAATTAAAATAAATAAAACTTATCGAAGAAAGATAAAATAAAATATTGCATTTGTGAGTCTAAATATTAAAATCCGAAAACAATCATCACATTAATTTACAAATTCCACGAAGGATTCTAAATGTTTCACAATCATCGAGAGCAACAGATCATCACAAATAAATTATTCAGTGTTAAATTAATTGTTTGTTACAATATATTTTTAAATTTTCTCTATACAAATATATAGATAAATAATATAATAACACAAAGCAATAACGCGCCATCTATACATATAAAATAAAAGGATTTAAAAGCGCGAATGTTTCTTTTATACAGTGTAGCATATAAAAGCAGAATGATCCAATACAGTATTAGAGCTCTGAGAAGCGGTCTGGTGGATTAAATTGGCGAAACCGCTGGGAGGGTTCACCACTGATGAGCCAAGCCCTCCCAATATATTTTTTCATCGCAGTAAGGACAGTAGAAGTTCGTTTTATGTATAAAAGAAACATTCGCGCTTTTAAATCATTTTATTTTATAAATAATATAATGCATACGTTTTTTGTATTTAATTTTTAAGGGCGAATACTTTTTTATATTTTAGAGTTGCACACGCAAACATTTCAGTTTGAGCCTTTTGTCCTAATGAAAAATAAAACAGAAAAAGCAATAATAAACACTTCGATCATTTAAAAATAGAGTAAAAAGAGAATCATATTCAACTATCATAGTCAGAAATTAATTAAATATATTTTATCCCTTATTTTATTAAAGCAAGAATTTTAAAAAATGTCTTACAACTTGAAAACTATCAAGTAAAATAAACTTTCCTTAACGTCAATATTACTATGATTATTTCAAATTGTATTAATCATACAGGCGCGATATTGAAATATTTAAGCCTATTACAGAGGAAACAAACAAAACCAGAAACAAATTAAAACTTAGAATTAAATATTTACAAATTTAAATGTATATATGTCATAATTTGTATATAATTAAATGCAACCCCGACCCACTATGTATGTACCATGTATGATTTTCAAAGAATTAATAAAAGAATAAGGTAACTGGAGGAAAGAAAGTAACAAAAGACATAGGAAGTAAATCTAGAGGAGAACATATTTATTAATAACGTCGCAGTTAACCTTCTGACCCCGGGTCCCTGCGAGCTAAGTTTAAACCGACACTTCCTGGAAAAACAGGACGTATCTAGTGACCAGAAGTTATAAATGTTAAAGCTAGCACTCAATACTTCCTGACAAAGCAGGACGTATTTTGATAACGCGGAAGTAAATAAAGTGGAAATAACACTCGACACTTCCTGTCAGGCAGGCCATATCTTTCATCAAGGAGAGCCGCGGGCCAATTAGAAGACAGCACCTTAAGTAGGTCAACCAATAGGAAAAGATCATGTGACATCTCTCGACCAATCAGAGAGAAACTGAGTCTTGGTGTTAAATCGAAAAGCAAGAATGGTCAGTTACGTTTTCGCTCTCATAGGAACAACACCTACAGTTGTTCAGTGGCTCTCGCCGAGTTCGGAGAGTTGCTCCTTCGCTTCCAACCAGGTAACATCTACTCTAGAGATCTCTCTCTCCGCTCATTTCATCTAAATCCCATCATCGCCATGTGATCAACTAATTAATAAGTCAAATCGCTCAACTCTTCTCAAGCTTTCTTCCCTCCAACCCAGTTGCCTTTTATTTTCAAACCCAATCACGTGTCCTGATTATTCCTAACTGTATGCTGCAACTTCCACTCAAACGGCTGCGCTTCAACCAAATCTCACCATTCGCATCCAACAACAAGAAACCCCGCAACGATATTGCCACAGAACGGTTAAGTCGACAGGATAGTGAGATGGAATTAAATCAGGATCCCATAGGCGTAAAGTCAGACGGTCCGACGGAAACAATGGAAAGAAGGCAAGAAGTAAGAGAGAACGAAGGGGCAGGAGAAAGACAAGAGGTGACCGGCCGAGAGACAACTGCGCCCCTAGCGGACGCCGTCAACCAGCTGTCAACGCTCCTAACCCGGGTAAAAATTTCTGATGGAGCGGGGTCGGCGATCCCGCCTTTCGACGGCGCATACAGCGCGACACAGTTTTTCCAGACGTTCGACCGAAAAATGGAAGACGCATCCATGGGAGAACAAGAAAAATTACTGCGCCTGCCAAACTACCTGGTGCGACAACCCCTGGAGCTCTTCAGGAAACTTCGACTGGCCGACCGGAGTTATTTCCAGGTGAGACAAATCCTCCTAGATCTCTACCCTGAATCAAGCGAAGCGTCCTTTGCGAAATATTTCGCCATGAAACTTACTGGACAAGCCAACCTAGAGACCTACTACCGGGAGAAAACCGCCATGGGATTGCAACTAGGACTTCCACAAGAGGTGATCCTCGAGACGCTGACAGAAGGACTGCCATTCAACGACCAGCGCCTAGTCCGCGTAGTGCCTCCCGAGAACCTAGGAGAGTGGTTCCGACTGGTACAGCGGATCCACGGGCCCAGTGTACCGGCAACGCGATCCAGAGAAGATCAACCACCCACAATGTCGGGTCCGTACCACAGCACACCCCGACGCCCAGGTGCATGGAATGCACCTCTTCCGCCGTCCAACTGCAAGTTCTGCGGCGCGAGACACTGGCACAGCGAATGCCGACTTCGACCAGTCCCGACGACCCACGAAAAAGTCCGGACGGTGCAAACAGTCCCAAAACAACCAGCCACGATTCCACAACAACCAAGTCAAGCCAGGGACACCCCAGCCGAGCAGCCCTTTCGAGACTGAGGTAGGATCCCTAAACCAACTGACTGTCAAACTTTTTCTAGCCCCTAATGTATCATGCCCCTTTTTAATTGATACAGGCGCCAGCCTGAGTATAGTGCCATATAATATTTATCATATGCTAAAAACCCACCTGCCTAATTTAACCCTTGAGGGACATTCACTACACCTCCAAACCCTAAACGGATTTGCAAAAACCATGGGTAAACTATCTATCCCACTGACAATAGGACAAATATCACGAAAGGAGTATTTCCATGTAGTGAATGCACCATTGCCATTCGGAATTCTTAGTATCAATAGCCTCCATAAATTCAGATTAACCATAGATTTTAATAAATGCACTATACTCCAGCTGGGCGCCCCATTGTCTACCCTTTCCTACCATTTTAATCATGT